CATCGTAGGTACCTTGCTGTGGGTGAAGTCACGGGGCTATTGTGTAAGTGTCCCCAGTGCCCTCTGACTGCAGTGACTTTGGAACGTGGACTGTCACCACACATGGGGTTGACTCATCTTCCCCAGCAGCTGCCCGGGGCTGTGGCTCCACAGAGCAGCAGATGCCAAGGCCAAGCCCACACAGACACTGCGGCTCCTTCCCCTTACTCCTTACACCCCAGGCCACCCACAGGCCTGCCCGTGACTCTGCAGCACTTTTCAGGTGTGCGCTGGACAATTCCCCACGGCTCTACCCCCATTTTCTCCTGGGTAGCTCAGCCCCAGGCCCCACCGCGTCTTACCGCAAAATTCAGCAGCTACACAACCCACCCTCCAACCAGCTATCAAAGGCCACCGAACACAGATCATCTTGTTTCCTGCCAACTCTGATCTCTGTGGCTACATTTCCACTGCATGAACTGAATTTTAGCTATCGTTTGGGCCGGTAATCTCAATGTACTCGCCCTCTCCCCACTAGACACGTGGATTCCTCTGTTGTGAGCATCTCATCACAATCACTCACCAATATTTGCAACAATTTAAAAAAACGGTAAAATTAAGAAACCTTACTGCTTAGCAAGCAGCACACAACCCCGTAGCTATTTGCCGATGAAGTCCAGCCACGTGTTCCCAGTCCTGAAACAGCGTGCCATGTGCCTTCCCCCAGTGCTCCACCACCCGCCTTAAGAGGGCTAAAGTCTGCTCTGGGGCTGATGAACTGGAAAGAATGGGGGATTACAGGGGTCTAAGCCGAGGCCTTTGTGACTTTCCACCAAGCCTGTTTCTGCTGTTTTGTGCAATTCCATTACTGCACAAATAAGGCCTCAAGCTACCCCAACAAATACTGTTCCACTCCATTTCACCAGTGATTTTTTTCCCCAGCTCCCTTAGGGTCAGGAATCGACCTCTTTTCCCCATCCATCTGCCCCCAGTCCAGTGTCAGGGGAGGCTTTCGATATGATCTGTAGAGCGAGATTAAGACACAAACGAGACCAAATGCCATAAACCCAAACCAACTTTTATTATCAAAAATAAAAAAAAATAGTAGCGATAGAATTAAAAAGCAGAAATCAAGCAAGCATTCAGGATAGAGTTGCAAAAATAGTCACCACCATGGATCTACAGCGCTCGGGGGGGGTGGGGGTGGGGTGTGTTTCAAGTCTCACGGTGATTGCACCGTGGCTTGTCTCCGCTGCCCTTTTTTCTTCCCATTCTAGGGTTGCAGTTTCCATGACAACACCATGCACTTGCAAGTCTCCGCATTCCCGCACGTTTCACCCAACTGCCACGTGACTTACCGGAATGTTTTTCACAAACCGGAGGTCTCTGCGACCTTGTAGCCGTTCTTACCGTGTTCAGCAGCCGGAGGAATTTTCTGCTTAGAGGAGCAATCTGTGAGACAAATGTTCTACAGTTCAGTCTCACACAAATCTGCATTGGTATTAAATGACTTTAAGCTGATCAAACTCGTTTCCATAAGCCACTTAGAAATACCTCAAGCTTATTTAAAGTATAAACTATTAGGAGAACCATGTAACTACGCACAGCCAACATTACATTAGTGCAGTATCACTCACCTTACAAATCACTGCTGCACTCCAAAACTTTTCAACTTTAGAACTGGAAAAAAACCACACCAAAATGTATTTTAAGTTAATTGCTCTAAAGTTTCTCTTTTTCCCTTTCTGCCCCCCAGCCATTCAGACTGGCACATGTCCTTCCACACCCCCACCCTCCCCGGCGCCATTCTGCCTAGCAGAGCTGTTTCCTGCATGGTTTATCTCCTCTGTCACCGCCCGAGGGCTCAGAGAAGCAGTAGGAATATGCAGGCTGCAGACTCTAGGCCCGGCTTGATCTCCAACGTCGTGGAAAGGGACCATACGTCACGGGCCCGAAGGCCTACGCTCCCATGCGCCACACGGACAGAGCCGAGAGAGAGCAACTTCTCCGGATATCCACGTTGGATGAACGATTAAAAGCGCTGTAGCTACCACCTTCACCCCCAAACCCACGTTCCGCCTACACGCGGCTCACAGACGTGACCCCACGAGAGATACTCACGGCAGGAGCGAGCTGGATGGGGCCAGGCCGGGTCAGGCGTCAGCACAGCCTGAGGAAAGAGGAAAAGACAGTGAGGGTCAGCCGGGGGCAGCGCGGCCGCAGGGTGTTCCCTCAGCAGCACCGCGCACCCAGCGAAGGCCGCTCGCGGCTTCTTATTCCCACGGAAACATGGGCTACGAGCAGCGTGGCCCTTCGTAGGGAGCTCAGGGCACAGCGTAGAAGGGAAGGAAACGGAAAGAAGGGGGGGAGGCCGCCGCCGGGCCCGGGCCCGGACCTACCTGCAGCCGCCGCTCCGCGCAGAGAAAGAGAGCGGGAGCTCCCGCGTGGCCGCTTTTATAGAGCGGGCGGGGGCGGGGCCAGAGGAGGCCACGGAGATGCTGGAGGGGCTGGAGCCCCCCCTGTGAGGACAGGCTGAGAGAGTTGGGGGTTCAGCTGGAGAAGAGAAGGCTCCGGGGAGACCTTAGAGCGGCCTCCCAGGGCTGAAAGGGGCTGCAGGAAAGGGGGGAGGGACTCT